CATTATAACCACTGCACTGATTCAAGGCAAGGATCACTGCTATGTGATTTCTACCACAGTCACTATTTTCAGCAGAGGACATTGGGTATTTTTCCCCTCACTTCAAACCCTATAGTTAATATGGTTTCAAGTTATAAAATTAATTGTATAGTAGTATTTTCAATGAAGCTTAGATGAAATATTGTAGAGCATGTTAAAAGATAACCCTTGCTCATTTTTATCACTTGTTAAACGTAACATTTCTCACCCAAACCTCTTGCATATATTACCAAATTTGGCAGTTCTGTAGTTAAATGACATATGGTCTCTAATACTGTTTGCCATAAGGCAAAATATAAACAAACTCCCACAGACTTCTCCAGTAAAACCAAAGAAGAGTCAAGAAGCCCTCAGGTTTTGGGAAAGTGTGTTAACAGGTCAACTGAGTAAGCATCAAGCCGGAAGACTAAGATTATTTCTTTGATTTGCTGTGTCATTTTGAGGAAGACACTTCAGTTACTCAAAGCTTCAGTATTCCATCTGGTATTTTCATTGGTCCCTATTAGCCCAACCTTTAACATAGTCTTGACAAAATACTAGAAGCAGGACATATTACACAAAATTAATTCTAAAACATTCCATGCAAAATTTGCACGTCAGCTGTCATCAGAATGATAAAACTCATTAAAAGTTTCTGTGGATCAAAATAAGGGTTTATTTTGTAATCACCTACAGCAACATCATGAAGCAACTGGGATAAATGAGAATATGTCTCAGAGAGTGAGGAGGTGTAACTCGCTACAAACACAGAACATATGAAGTGTTTCAGACACTTACACCTGTAGCAAGAGATCCTTTTGCCATCCTCTCAAAGCCAAGTGCCAGAACACAGTCTGCCAAACCTTAAAATAAAATTTGTGGCCATTTAAAGCACAATGTGATTATAAATGACACTATGTACTAACAACTATTCAATTATAAGATATGTACACAAACACCTCCCAGCTGCCCTTCCTCCTTCCTTCATTTTTGAAAGGGAGTCAAAGTGGAAATGATATTGATACAAACATATTGATACTCAAGAATGAGAGATCACTACAGGATTTGGGTTTATTTTAACCATTTGACAGCAATTATCTTAGACAAGCAAGCACTTATGTCTCTGCTACAAATACTAGAATAATCATACAGTGTTACTATAGTTTTCATCAGCATTTAAGTGCAAGAAAGTATTAAAGTCCATAAAGGAACTGCAGAAACAGAAGGAAACGCTCATCTATCAGTTCAAAGCAGTCTGTCACAAGGCATTGCTCTTCCCCTCCCTTCCAAAAATGTGTTAGTCAAACACTTGTGTTAACTTCAAGTTAAAAAAAAATTAAAAGCTAGGCTTTTTAGCAGATTCTTCTCTCCTTTTCCTTTCATAGAAATAGAGACTGTGTTACCCAGCTCCAGAGCAAAACAACTCACCTCCTTCTACTAATTGTCTGGCCATGAACAGAGCAGTGGATCCAGTGGCACAGTTGTTGTTGACATTAATGATGGGAATGCCAGTCAGACCCAACCCGTGGTAGATGGCCCTCTGTCCACAGGTAGAGTCACCTTCAGAGAGAAACACGACATTAAAGTAAGGTACAAACTCAAACTCCACTCACAAAAAGAAATCCTGCCATATATATGCAATGCTACCACTTAAACTGTAAACTTGAACTTCTGAACTGTCCCCTTGAGCGTGTCTGCCAGGTATCCACAGCAAAGAACCTCAGAAAAAAGGTGAAACTCATCAGATTTTAAAGACAGAAGTTTGTCCTGCTTCTGTGATAACGGGCTTCTGTGATAAAGGGGCAGAAAGGACTTAGAGGTGCAGCTTGAAAGCTGCTCTAGGTATCACAGCTGACTGACCCTACTCCAGTTGCCATAATACAGCCATTAAGAGAGAAGAAGGAAGAAAGTAAATGCAAAACTCTCAAAACAGATTCCCCCATAATACAAAGCTTATGGATGGGAATCCCCCATACTTTATCCACACAGATGTGGATAAATTTTATCCACACAGATGTCTGCAACTGTCATGGATGTCACATCCCAATCAAACATTACTTACCATAAACATAACCCACACACGCCTGCTTCACTGCTGAGTAAGGAATCCCAGCATCAGCTAAAGCTGCCTGGCCTAAAAAACAGTTACAAGTTGAAAAAAACAAATTAAAATTGAAGGAAAAATAAAGCAGCTCTCACAACCATAACAAGCAACCCTAGTTGCTGTAGTACATAGCAGTATGTACAATTCCCGCATTCAAACTAGAAAAAGAGAGTTGTACAAATTTGTTGTTATATGATGCAAATGGTTAATATAGTCTTGTACCTTAACACTCATAAGGACAATTTCACACTGTTTTGAGTTTTGAACAAGTTTCTTTATCAGCAAATTTCATTCAATCAATTGTGTTCCTGCACAAAGGTTGTTCATCCCAATGAAAGTATGTTTTGAATACTATAGCTAAGTATTAAATTATTTAAGGGTCCAAGCCAAATTTAAACCATCCTGCTGACTTCAGTGTTGGAAACAGCGAGTTGGACAGGTCAGTTATGGATTTTGTGAAAGTGGTCTTTTCTTTTTATATGTATCTAATTACTGAACAGCAGTTGTTCCTTCATATGTATAATAAAAATATTAACTGTAAGACTTAAAATAAGGATCAGCAATCAAACAAAATGCTTTATTATTAAATTACCTGCTTCCTTAGCCATTTCAGGATAATCAGCACTGTTCTCATTAGGCTTTGAAAACTGACAAGAGGAAACAAAACAAAAACAAAAAACAAATCACAGTGAGATTTAATATCTTTTTTGCTCAAATTGGTAAATTTAAAAGCTTTGTATTTAATTTGGAAGTCAGCTTTAAATAATGCAAACAATGTAATTTAATTGATCCAAAAGTGTGTGCACAAAACCTTTACAATTCCCAAGTGCTACTGCCAAATCCAGATAAAGTAGTGGCACTTTATGGAAGCTGAGGGCCATTTTTGCTCAGTCTTAAAGAAGATCCATGGCTGTGGATATGGACAATAACCCTGTGCAAAGCCTGTGGGTGGGACAGAGAAGAACTGTCATTGTCACTGATTCATCATAATATATGATATCATAATCTTCACTAAGACTTTGAGAAATACTTCCCTTCCCCTTTATTTTGTTCTACTCCTATTTGTAACAAGAAAATGCTTGCTTTTTGTACAGAATTTATCATACCTCACCCCTCACCACTGGAGTAGAGATGGCATTTCTATTTTCTTTGCAGTGATTCATTAGAGTCCACCACAAACACATGTGCTCTGCGTTTTTACATCACTAACAAAAAGTGTCGCTGCTAAAAAAAAGTCTTCATTCTACAAATTATCTGACATTCCCTGTGATTATATAGAAGTTAATTTTCTGCCTCCTTCTGCTCTCCTCTCCAACTCCAGTCTTTTGCAACACTTTGCTGTACTTTCTGTAGTGCCTCCTTCCATTTAGTCAGAGAACCTTCATACTGAAGGTCATAAAAAAAATCAGTCAGCGAGTTGATCATTGTAAAAGTCTGTTCCTTTAGCTTTTGCTCCTCTTTAAAAATCATCAAATCATTTAGGTTGGAAAAGACCTTTAAGATCAAGTCCCACCATTACCCCAGCACTGCCAAATCCACCACTAAATGATGGCCTCAGATGACTCCACCACTGCCCTGGGCTGCCTCTTCCTGGGCTTGGCAATTTCTATGGGTGAAGAAATTTTACTTAATCCTAATCCTACTCCTAAACCTCCCCTGTGGAAACTTGAAGCCATCTCCTTTTGTCCTGTCACTTGTTACTGTGGAGAAGCGCCCCACACGCACCTGCCTGCAATCCGCTCTGAGGGAGCTGTGGAGGAAACTATGCTTGCCGCTGAGGGACCGGGTACAGAACTGCCCAGGAAAGCCCCTCGGGCAAGGCCAAGCCGCGGGCCAGCGGCTGCGGTGACAGTCTGGGGGCACTGTGCCCACTGCAGGTCTGTGGTATCGACCCGCTCTGCGGGTTCACTACGTTCCCTTGGCCGCGCTCCCGCCTCCCCCTCACGCCGGGCGCGGGCGGACTTTGCGCGGCGCCGCTGCCTCCCGGGCCAGCACCGCACGGTTCTGCCCCGCCAGGGCCCGCTGAGGCGGCGCCGGGCGCGGTGAGGGGCTTCACCCCACCGGGGAGGGAGGGAGCGGACGGCTCCCCCTGCGTCCCCTCACCGCCCCCAGGGGACACCCGCCGAGCCCAGCCTGGCCCGGGCCGTTCCCCCTCACACACGCGGTGCCGGGGAGGGCGGGGGGCGGTACCTTGGTCATCCCGACGCCCACCACGAACACCCGGCGCTGCATGATGGCAGTGTGACCCCCTCCTGCTCCTCCTTCTCCTTGTCCTGCCGCTGTCGCCGCGACCCGCGGGCCCTCAGCTACACTGAGGGACTGGAAGAGCGACGGAGGCGGGCCAGCGCCGCCACGCCCCTTAAAGGAGCGGAGGACCCGGTGCGGCCCCGGACGGGTTGGACCCATCCATAGCACAGCCATGGCCATCCCTAGGGCCATCCTTGCCTATTCCCCCGAATCTCCCTATCTTGTTGACTCATCAGACATTCTTCCAAAGTGGAGCTGGAATGACGCAAGTCTCTTCGTGTCCAGAGAAAGGCAACAAAGCTGGGGAAGGGTCTGCAGAGCGTGTTCTATGAGCAGCGGCTGAGGGAGCTGGGGGGGCTCAGCTTGGAGAAAAGGAGGCTCAGGAGGGACCTTCTCTCTCCCTACAACTCCCTGACAGAAGGGTGGAGCCAGGTGTGGGTCGGTCTCTTCTCCCTTGTAACGAGCAATAAGACGGGAGGACATAGTCTTAAGCTGTGCCAGGGGAGGTTTAGGTTGGACATCAGGAAGAATTTCTTCCCAGAAAGGGTGATTAGACATTGGAGTGGGCTGCCCAGGGAGGTGGTGGAGTCACCGTCCCTGGAGGTGTTTAAGGGAAGACTGGACATGGCACTCAGTGATGATTCGTGATGGACTCGATGATCCCAGAGATCTTTTGCAATCCAATTGATTCTGTGATTCTTTTCCTTCAGAGATGTCTTCAGGTCCGTCACTTGAAGGAATCATCCTCTTTTCCTGAAATGCTGGATGGGTTCACGGTGAAAACTGAACGTCTGACCTTCATCAACCCACCCTTCCAAGAGTCCTTCCCTTTCCCTCACGGTGCCATCCTTGAGGATCTCCACGGCTCCGTCACGGGACGGAAAGGACGTCACCTCTTGCCTTCCACAGATATCCAGGCGGCATCTACCTTGTTTTCCACCGCACGGGTCCTCACTTGTCACAACCCTTCCGCTCCAGCGGGCTGTCACTGTGTCACTGACTCCTCTAGGTCCTCCTTAAAGGCGGCGCGGCCCGTCCCGTGCCGCGGCGGCCCCGCGGCCCCAGAGCGGCCATGCTGCGGCTGGGCCGGGCGGTGCCTGCCGCGCTGCGCGGGGCCCGCCGAGGGACCCCCGCGGCCCAACCGCGCCGGGGCGCGGAGGTGCTGGTGGGCTCGGCCGGCGGGGACAGCGGCGGTGAGTGCCCGGGCACCGGCGCGGTGACCTGGTGCTGCAGGGAGGGCGCGGGTTGAAGCCAGGTCGTCCGTCGTATCTTAGCTTTCAGTTATGCCTTGATACTTTTTTCCGAGAACGCTCCTGCCAAATGAACAGCTAGATGCGTATTCTTAAGTTATGTGTGCAGGAGAGCTCAACACAGCAAGTTCTGGTTTGCGTACCTTAGATTTTTCTGATATCAGCAATGTACAGCGCTAAAGGTAGGACAGGACCTGGGCATGTCTGTGCACATTTATGCATGAGAGCCAGTAAACAGCTTGAGTTTTGGTTCAGATTGCCAATGGATTTACTTTCTGTGTAACTATTGCAAGAGCTCCTAAACAGCTCTTGGTAGTTTTGCTGGTTACATACCCGTGAACAGTTCCCACAGCTGTGTCTTTTGCTGGTGCTGCTGTCACCCGTGTCTGTGTTCCGGGGTGACACATGTCTGGTTCAGTAGCTGGCCTCTGGCACAGGCAAAGGAATACACACGTGCAAGGTACAGCTGTGCACCTACAGCAGCAGCAGCAGCATCTTAGAACGTTCGTGCCTGGGAAGTGAGCAGAAGTCCAGCCAAGGAAACAGGATAGATCTTTTTTTCTTTCCAAAGCACACAGAAGCCATTGGATAATAATTTACAAGTCACAAGTGCAAGGGAGAAGTTGATACATATGTTGGCCTTATTTTTCTGCCTGGACTTAGAAATTTTTAGTGGAGTCCTTTCCACTGATGAGCTTATTAGGTTTAAATAAAATAGAGCAGCAATTTCCTAGTGGTTCTGGAACATGAACTGAGAGTGACCAGTCTGTGCTGTTCTTATGCCAACAGCAATCCCAAGAGAATTTTCTTCACTAAAGAAATGTACTTGAACATGATAAGACTGTACAATAAAAACTAAATTAAGTAACATTCAGAAGAGAAATCTAAGATGGATCATTTAGTTTTTGGTTTGTTGGGTTTTTTTCCCCATTTCTGCAATGATTCTAAGACGTGTTCTTGGATGTAGTGTTGATTTTTCAAAGTCTTATAGTATTTACAGTGCTGCTGAATTTTACAGTTTTTCTGCATAACTGGGTTTTGTAGACATGGTGTGCCACCTCTGCTTTTCAAATAACTGATTGGTTTAGAAAATACTTTACATGCATTTTCAGGGAAGAGAAGATGCAGCACATGCAGATATTGTTCCCAGTTGAATTACTGTGTCAGAGAACTAAATGAAGTATAACTGAAATTGTCTCCTATTACCAAGGTATTGCTGAAATCCTAATGAACCGACCCCATGCGAGAAATTCACTGGGAAAAGTATTTGTAAACGAAGTGAGTATGGGCCTGGCCTGTGTGTTTGGAATTGTGATCAATAACCAACTGCAGTAAGAACAGTTGTAGGAAATGTAAAACAAAATCTTATCCCTTGCTGAAGGTCAGTGGGAGATGGCACCAGGGCAAGGCAGGTTAGCCCGGAGAAAAAGGGATTGTAATAGTTACTGCAGTATCTCAGATGTGGACTGGACAGAGATACTGGAGTTATTGAAGTTAGCTAATTTAATTTAATTTAACTCAGATGCAAGTTAATGTCCTTACTTGTGTAATTACAACAAAAACATACTCATTGTCACACCTTAGCAGGTGATCTGTTTAAGGATAATACATCCTAGAGGAAGTCCAGCTCATGCCTTGACAGGAAGGGGAATGAGTTTAAGGTACAGCAAAGGTTCATCTCTGAGTGGAAGGAAAAAAGAGATGGGGAAACACATAATTCTGAGGTTGTCATGGAAAGATCCTGCTGGTTCCAATTACATGATTTCCAGAAATATCATGGCACCTGCAGGGCAAAAAGAAAACACTTGTATCATATATTAGGAGCTTGCTCTAATTTATGCCTGAAGTTTTTTCCCCCTTGTCTGCCCTCCCTCCCTCGTAGCTGTTCAGTGCCCTGGAGCAGCTCCGCTTCGATGAGAAGGTGCGTGTGGTGGTGTTCAAGAGCCAGGTGAAAGGTGTGTTTTGTGCAGGTGAGTAACAAAGGCTCTGCAAACTGTGCTCAAAAAACATGATGGCTCTTGGGACTGCGATCAGATCAAGCAGAAAATGTGTGCTAAAAGAAAAATAGGCATTTTTTTGTGTGGCAAATAACAACCACATTGTTCTCTCAGCTGTCTGTCTCTTGGCTTCCATGATGAAGATGTGTGTGACAGAGTGAGCCACACAGGCTGCATGGTGCCACTATTTGTTTTCCATTTCTTCAAGCACAGGTGCTCTGGTATTGGAGTTCTTGTTTCCAGTTTTATGGATTGTCATCCTTACACACAGTGGTTGGTGTTCCTCTGTGGAATCTGTGGAAAGGGCACAGAGGAGCACCCCCCACTGCTGCAGCCCAAGTGTCCACGCTCCGACTTCCTCTGACCTTACTTAACCTCTACAGAATGCTGTATTTCAAGACTTCTGAAATGAAGTGGTCTGTCCTCTGAGAGGGGCAGGAGGGAACACAGTTTGGATGTCTTTTCCTGGATTCTAACCTTTCTCTCCCTTATTTAGGAGCAGACTTAAAGGAACGTGCAAAGATGGATGATGCAGAAGTTGGACTATTTGTTAGAAGGCTGAGAAATCTCATGGATGAAATAGGTAAAGGATTATTTCAGTTGGAAAAGTTATCCTAGACTACCTGTAGTGAAACATGCTGTAGGAGGGGATAACCAGCAGGTTATCCACGTAGGAGTTGCTTCCCAGATGACTCCAGCTTATGCCTGAAACAAAGATCTGATTAAATACTAACTCTCCTGCTGCCACTCCCAGGACAAGATGCATTTCAGTACTGCCTTACCCACAACAAGAGCAGTGCACACACATGGGTGTAATAAATAAAATACCTGCTATGGCAATGCCTTTATATCCAGTTCTGTGGAATCCTAGGGAGGCAGTGCTAGACGTGAGCTGTGCTGGTTGTCCCACTTCCAGTACACGCTCTGAAACTCTCATGATATCATGATATGGCAATGCCCTAACAACATGGATTTGAATCTCTGAATAGATTTGCTAAATGGATTTGTGGAATGTTTGGGTTTGTATCTACAACTCCTCCACTCCATCTTTTTTTCTTTTTTTTTTTTTTATTATTCTGCTCTCACTAGAGAGAAAAACCAAAGTGAAAGCTGATTAAAATACCAATCAGAGTTGCAGTAATAAAAAAACCCACAGGAGCATTCAGGGAGGGGTGGTTACAGCACAGAACTAGCACATGTCTGAAGTTTGCATCCAGCTCCCAGAGTATTTGGAAAGGTATCAAGCAGCTAATCTCCAGATACATCATGTTGCCCAACTGTGAGGTAACAACAGTGTTTACCAAGTTCAGGAGCCTTGGCTGACAAAGCACCAGAAAAACTGATCCTCGTGACAGTGACTTGAGACGGTATCTTTGCTCTGACTGTTGAACTGCAGCAGCTGGACATTGATGTGATAAGTTTGCAAGGAGACAGTTCACCCTGTTTTGTGTTGCAGTAGAAAATGAGTTCTTGGGCAATTTTGGACTAAAAGCTTTAGAGTTTAAGGACTCAAATTCCAGAAGAGAACTTCTGGAACACAAGTGTGTAACCTGTGCTGTGTTCTGCAGCTGCCCTGCCTGTGCCCACGATCGCTGCCATCGATGGCTACGTGCTGGGAGGGGGACTGGAATTGGCCTTGGCCTGTGACCTTCGAGTGGCAGGTTGGTGTTGCTCCATGTAGGAATCATCCTGCAATCAGTGACTGTATTTTAAAGAGAACTTACATGCTTGAGAATGGACTGTTAATGGAATCCAGAAGCTTGAGAGGAACTTAAAACAGTTCAGGAAATGAGGAAGCATTTGTTCAGAAATTGTGACATTTAGTTACTATTGGAAAAGCAGTTTCCATGCTTAAAAAGTAAAACCTATTTTTAGGTAAGATTAGGATTCCTTTAGAAAAGTTTATTAGTAGAATTAAACAGTTATTGGAATGTAATTCCAGATCAGCACTCTGGCTAGATCTAACCTTCCCAATTTAAATCAGTTTGGACTGGAAGATTTCCTTTTTCTGTTTCTGTGCTTCCATCCATTCCATTTTATCTAGTATGGACACAAGGTTCATTGTTCTAGAAAAAACTGCTACCTTGGGCTAAGCAGCCATACCACACATCCCCCATGGCACTTGAGATGGACATTGGTGAAGCACTGTAGTACTCACTTTCTGGCTACCTGGAGAAACGGAGTTCCAGTTCAGTATTGCCAGTTTGTAGTTTTATCAATCAGTTCAGTTTGGAAAACTTGTAGTTATACAAATCAAAAAGTAACCAACCCTGCATTTATTTTTTTAATAGCTTCATCAGCTAAAATGGGCCTTATTGAGACCACACGAGGACTTCTTCCTGGAGCAGGTGACCTGCACTAAATCTTCAGTCTCACTTTCTCAACTGTACAGTAAATATTTTGCCATTAGAGCACTTTAAGTGTTTTGGATGTAAATTAGAAGTAGCATCTTACAGTAATGCAGGAGATCTATGACTCAAGAGTTCCGTCCCAAACCTTGTCTCAGACTTGCTCTGAATTTAGGAAAGTCCCTTTACACCTTTTCTTGTTTATTGAAATACTCAAAAGGGATGCTGAAGCTTTTCAGATGCCTTTAAAAACGTTGACATAGTCAGCTAGTAGTTATATGATGCCTTTCTTTTTAAACCTCCTGGTTTTATAAGGAGACAGAATACTAGTGGGGCACTTCTCAGAAATGAGAAAAGGTGTTTTCACTGTTATCCTAAGGTGGAACCCAGCGCCTGCCCAGATGTGTTGGAATAGGTCTTGCAAAGGAACTCATTTTCACTGGCAGACAGATTGATGGACAACAGGCCTTCTCCATGGGCTTGGTAAATCACTCAGTGCCACAGAACAGCGAGGGAGATGCAGCTTACCAGAGAGCACTAGCTTTGGCTAAAGAAATCCTTCCCCAGGTAAGTGTGGTGTTCATGTGGGCAACGTAAAGACAGCAAACAACAACTGAAATTCCTTCCTGTGAAATACTGAAGTCTTGGTTCCTCATGTTTAAGTCTCTTAACTGTCCTTTGTGAATGCAATTTCTGTAGGAATAAGCATTAACATCCAGCTGGTTAACCCACAGGACAGTTTTACCCCCAGCTGCAGTCATGCAGCCCTGCAGGACACATTGAAACCTTTCACCATGTACATATGTGAACTGCAGAAAACACCAATTTTTAAATGTTTTTTAAATACTTACTAACTTGCTGCAAATTTTGGTAGACTGGAAGGTCATTTGGAGCTAGGATAATGACATAACAATTCCTCCATTATGAATGAATGTGGCTTTAATTATTTTAAATGCTTATTGTAGTTTGGTTTCTGGTTTTTTTTTTTTAATAAAGGCTCCATTTGCTGTGAAAATGGGAAAACTGGCAATAAACAGAGGAATGGAGGTAATAAATTTTTTTTTATAAATATTGAGGTGAATGAAGCAAATGAGCAGCTCTTACAAATTACTACAGTAAAAATGATCAGAACAGATGAGTTATAATCCATGTTTAGAGCAGGCATTTAAAGCCATTGCAGAGGTTTTAAAGATTTTCTTTAAAGATAAAATTAATAGGGCATAATTTCTCTTCTAGTCACTAACACTGCAGTTCTAATACAGGAGTGAAGGTCACTCTGTACTACAAGTGAATGTTTATTGATTTGAGAACTATGAAGAGCTTTGAGGGCTGTACTTCAGACAAATGTCACCCTTCTCTCTCATCCCCAGGTCGACATTGCATCAGGGATGGCTATTGAGGGGATGTGCTATGCCCAGGTGGGTTACCTTCAGAATTCATTCCTGAAAGGAACAACTGTATTTTAATTATAGGATGAGCTTTACAAGTGGTTTTGGTTTTAACAAATTACAAATGATTCCTCCTGTGAGGATTCTTCTTTGTGCCAAGTTTTGAGAGCACACACCTGTCTCAGCTAATGGAACAATACAGTACATTATTATATTACAGTATAATGTGCCTCTCAATGTATTTTAAGATGGTAAAGCATTAAGTTTAGGGAAAAAACTGTTTTCCTATATAGTTCTATGGTCTTTGTCTGAGGTGCTTTGCTTGTGAGTTACTCTACAACCCAGTCTCTATTTTCCTAATCGCAAAACGTGGAAGTTGGGACTTGACATATCATTGAAAGAAGAGCAATCTTAGTCTTACACCACTACTGCCAAATTAGCCAGGACTTAAAAGCACATCTACTTGTCAATGGAAAACATACCATTTGCTTTGCTTTTCTTTTTAATACAGAATATTCCCACAAGAGACCGTCAGGAAGGGATGGCTGCCTTCAGGGAGAAACGACCACCGCGCTTTATCGGCAAATAACACTTTCTAGCTGCCCCTTGATTTTTAATAGTAAAGTAGGACTGAAGAGCACCCACTGATTTCTTGGGGATGATTTTTATGACACCATTCTGTGCACTTAACCCCTTGCCTTGGACTGCATTTCTAAATACTCCACTGGATCATTTTTCTGTACGAATCTTCCAATAAAGATTTAACTTTGTACACCTGATCCTTAAAGCATGTACATGTTGAGTCAGTGTTGCTCTCACACAGATGTCAAGTAAGGAATATGGAGAAGCTTTGGCTCACCATAAAGAAATTGAAAAAAAAAAAAGGCAGAATACATGCTGCATCTAAACACTGTTAGGAAAAACAAACACTGAAGAGAAAGACAACTTATAAAGTGCTTACCTCCCTAGACTGGAGCTTTCAAACAAAAGTAAATTAGGAAGCAAATGTGGTTTTAGTAAACACTTTACAGGTTATCAAAATATACTTACTAAGTCTGGCTTACCACATTGGAACTGGCTGTCACTTCGTGCTATGATTATCTCAAAGCAAACCACAGTTTCACTTGTGCCAGAAGTTACCCAAACAATTCTGTGGGTGAGGTCACGTTAAATTATACACCTACAAGTTTTCTATGTAAAGATCTGAAAAGATAAAGCAGAGTCAGGATCTTCAGCCTTCACAAAAGATGCTAGAGGTGGGATACAAGAGTTTAAAAGCTGCTTCCAGGATTATTGTACTCTGGTAGAAACTTCTGAAGCTGCACAGAAATGTGAAGAGACCTTTCCATAAGTGGCACATACAAGTAATTTTCGTGGATTTATACCTTGTAGTAATTGATATTTTTCAGCTTGAAAGAATTCTGCTCACAGTTTGCCTGAAGTGTGTGGGAGCAAAAGAAAAAGGGTATGAAAAAATCATTCAGAATCTCTCTGCTTGCAGAACTTCATGAAGTGACACATCTTCCAGACCTGGGGCCTGATGCCATTATCACCTGCATTCTGTGCTGCAGGGAGTAGTACTTTTTTTTCCTGCACAGTTTTAGTTAAGATGCTTCAACAAGTTCTCCTGTTATTAGGAAAAAACAGTACTGTAAGGAGAGTTGTCATCTTTATTTTAAAATCTTGTAGCAATTGATTTATATTTATTCTATTAACACCAATTTTGACAAGTTTTGTGTTCCACTTCATGTAATGGAAACTCTATACAAGTCCCATAGCAGACATCTCAGAAGGGTGGGGGGTAAAAGCTTGTAGGCTGTTTTTAATTTTTAAACCACCTTCATAATTCAAAGCTACAGACAGTTGAATTTCTGTCTGAATTGAGAAAACTGTACATAACCAGATACACACATGAAATTATGGCCAAATTATACTTTTGTACAAAAAACAATGAGAAAACACTAATTAAATTACTGGATGAGCACCTTTTGAAGTTGCTGAGATACACAATGTTATTGAAGATTAGAGGTGATGTTTTTATTTGAAGGATGGGAGCTGGGAGAAGGAAGGAGTTAAAAATAGTAAAATATGGTCGTCATGAAGAAGCCATCCCTGCTCATAAGCTACCAAACCTAAGTTTTCTTTTTAAACTCAATTCCCAAATATTTACAGAAGAATCTCTGAATATCAAATCAGTGGCCATGGAAATACAGAGACTAAGCAGATAAACAAAAACAATACCTGAAATTAAATTGAATTTGAATGGACATGCAGTTTGTTTCCATCACTTGCATTGTATCAGGCATCTGTATGCTGTGCAATATGTTTCATTGGATACATCATTTGTAACCCATAGGTAACCAAGAAAGGAACAAGTTGTTACAATTAGCATCTTTATGTAAAATTTCACACTCCACAAAACAATGCCATTGACACAGGGTTTACATAGAACACTGGGTGTATTTTACACTCACTGCCATGACTTGGAAATATAATTCACTGCACAATACTGACTGAATATTTACAGAAAACGAGAGCAATCATTAGTCTCTTATAAATAAGGTGACCAAATATCCTGGGCCTCTGACGAGTACATGCAATCCCCTTCATGATGAAGTCAAGTCAGTATTTTGCTCTAATGAGCCTTCTCCTTTCCCTATTCCCAAGTATTCTAAAAACAAAAGATATCACACACAACTAAAAGTAGTCACACAACAACAAAACTCCCTTCTTGTTATAAAGTTTAAAATCTCAAACTTAGTTCATCCTTTTAGTACTGTTTCATTTTAGTCCTGTTTCTACTGCTTTACTTGAGTGGGTTTCCCCTTTCCCTGAACATGATGTGGTCCCCACCTTGCTGAGAGCAGGGAGGACTCTGGAGAAATGAACTGCAAAAAGGCATTGTTCCAGCAGTAAGGAAAACAAAAGAACATGGCTTGCAGGCAAAAGGAAAAGGAAGATGAAGACCCCATTTGTGCCTAGAAGGGTTATGAGACAATGGGCATTTTGGTCGCCTTAGTTACAAGTCTCACTGTAACCTGCATGCACGGACTTGTGGTTTAGTCTGTAGGAGTGCTGGATCTCACAACCACACACAGTTTTATTCAAACACCAAACTGGTGAACAGTGTTATGAAGAGCAGTCACAGGGATGGAATAACTTTTTCTCCCAGGAGTCACAAAACAGGGTATTCCTTCAAGTCTTGTTTTCAGATGTGCATATTGATCTGTACAAGTCCCATCTCCTGGTAGCCAGCACTAACCCACCTTATGACCAGCTCAAGCCTGACCCTTGACAAGTCACACACGTGGTTGCCATCAAAGCTGACGTTCAGCAAAGGTTTCCACACATGGTTTTGGGTACCACAGTTACTGGCAAATCACTTTAATGGTGACCGATATATTACAAGTTACTCCAACTACACACACATCAGAAGGGATTATTACAGAGACAATACTTTACACTCCTCTACCTGCAGCTTTCAGTTTGGTTTGGTCTGCTGCTGTTTCCTACATGGTGGGGGTCTCCCATGACGCATAATGTGTTTTTCTAAACTGTCCAGGATGGCAATGGCAATCCTTTGGACATGGGGATCAGTCTGGACGTTTTCCTTGATGTTGTACAAATGCTGTAAACCACCTTCTTCAATTAACATGCTGCAGTATCTGGCAGCTGTAACGAGATTACAAAAAGGGAATTAAAAACAGAATTATCTAGGGTAAAGGTAGCAGATACTGTAAACACTGATTCAAATCCATTTTTGTCTCCAGGCAGCATTTAGGACACTCCCTAAAGTGTTCACAGAAGTGGACTGGTACTTAAGCAAGTGACAACACAACAAGAGTTACTTGGACAGGACTCAGACATTGGTCTGTTACCAAGCCTTTCTCAGCTGACTGGAAAGTGCCCTGTAATGTGCACAGGATTCTCTCTTTCCCCCACCTCCTCTGCAGGCATTTTAAGCGCACACATACAAACTATAAGAAATGGGAATAAGAAGTACTGTAGTGTCTATGAATATCCACGTAAAAGTAGTACCTTTACCAAAAACCTCAGTACAAACAGTTACCAAAAAATGGTGTCAGATATACCACACCATTTGTACAGGCTTGTGGAATGAATACTAACTAGTTCCTTCAAATACACTTTGCCAAATACTATTGATGGTGGCCTTTAACTAGCAACGAGTTGCTACAAATGCCTTTCCAGGGTTTCTTCCATTTTCACTGTTGATTTCAAAAAGTTGAAATTGCACCTCCAGCAGCTCTGGTGTCATTGAGAGCAGGGAAGAACTATAAAAAGAGCTGTGTGGTGAATGTAATGTGCAGGCTCTGGGGGTTGTTATGGAAAGGTCAGGATGACTGTAATGCAATCCACAGGCCTCAGCCAGGCCCAACTTCCCCATTCATCTCCATGATGCAACACCAGAGTTGTTTAAGTGCTGACGTTCAGCATTTCGCTGGGGATCACATTTACTGCAGTGTTACTAATATTTTAATGAAGTTAGCTCATTGAGGGGAATATGATATAGGCAAACAGCAAAAGGAGAAAAAATAAACAAGAAAAAATTTAAAAAAACACATTAATTCCAGATTACTTTCCAGCTTCATTTATAAGAGCTGGTCAAAATAAAATGCATCTCCTCTCCAGAAGAAAAAGCCTCCTTGGAGCCAGCTGAAGATTTTCCCCCAAAATAAATCTACATATTTCAGAATTAAACACATTTTCCCTCAGAGTAGGTTATTACATTTGCTACCAAACATTTGGCTTCTCTGCAACTTTGTTCAGAAGCTTCTGGCATCAACTACCATCAGAACTAAACTTCAGGAACTGCCTTGATCTCAAATCAGGAGTATGCCAATACAAACCCCTGTGGCATGTTGAAAGCTCAGAGTTTAGGGCAGCACAAAATAAACATTACAAATAAATAGAACAAATAGGACAGTACTAAGTTAACAGGACTAAAGGACAGAGAGAAATGGCAGGGTCTTAATCAAAATCTGTTATCCAGAGTCTGACCAGTAAAACAGCTTTGTCAGAACAGCCCTACTTCAACATGAAGAGCCCTCTCAGATTTCTGGGCAGCACCCTGGGAACAGTAGCTCATTATATTTATGAGCTCTATAAAGAGCAGCAAACAGTATTCTATGTGTGGTTATATATTTTGCCATCTTATTGGTTGGTCCTGAATAGATGCCTTATCACTGCAGAAACAGTGATTTCTGCGACAGGGATAAACAAGCCCAGATATATTGCTGTCAAGAAGATTAAAAACTGGCACAGAAAACACTTTTAATACTTTAGAGGAAAGCTGCTTTATATACACACATTCATGTCAAAAATTTATGTCAAAAAAACAACCAAAAAACCCAGCATTAAAAGCCAGGAATGTTTGTCCACTCTTAGATTTAGATATGGTTGGGAGATTTATTTCCTTTCCCAACACTTTTATCAAATGCTCTCAAATCATTTTACAAACTAGACATTGGTGTTCCCATTTTGTAGATGGGAAGGATGGATTAAGGAACTGACCTTTCTGTCCCAGCAAGTTACTGCAAAAGGCGATTAGGGCAGGATTACCCAGCATTTCTGCTCCCACAGTGAGACACTGACACCTGCTATGGTCATTGTTCTTAACTTAAAAGAAATCTGTTGCCCATTACTAATAGTTACATTTCTGAATAAAAACACCTGTGCAAGCAAAAAATGTAGTTAATCTTAATACATCCACATTTTGGAATTAATATTATCCACCTAACAGTAAAATTCTAGCAAATAA